CCGCCGCCACCCGGCCCGAAGCGGACACCCGCCCGCGAGACTGTCACCGCGCTCTATGACTACGACGCACAGGAAGCCGGTGAGCTCTCGTTCCGCGAGGGCGACGTCATCACCATCGTGTCCAAGGGCGACGGCTGGTGGACCGGTGAACTGCGCGGGAGCAAGGGCGAGTTCCCCTCCAACTACGTCCAATGAATGCATCTCTGCGCCGTCTCTGTGCCGTTGGCGACCAGCAACAACGAGCGCGATCCCGTTCAGAGTGCGGATAGCGTTTACGAGTCAAGACGGGGGGACAACCACTTTTCCCGTGTTCTTGGCGCCCTTAATCTTGGCGATCTTGTAGCCGCCTCCATGGCCGTCGGGCCGTGCCTCGCTGGACGCGTCAAACAGAAGCACATACTCACCTTTGGGCTCTTGGAACACGAGCCGGTCGCCAAACTCGACGCGGGCGTGGGTGTGCGACGTTGCGGCTGCCATGCGGGATGCGGCGGCGACGTGCGACGTCGCGCCAGAGCGCCCGGCCTCTGTCACGGCCTGCAGCTGGTCGAGAAGGCGGACGGCAAACTCGACGAGGCGCTCGCAGGCAAAGACCATGTCGTGGTGCTCGACGCCATCAAACGTGAGCACCATGTAGCAGTCTCCAAACGGCGAACATGAGAGCGAGGATATGGCTTCGATCGGCGTCACCGACTTGACCTTGAACGACTTGCCCTTGAGCCGGAACAAGTGCCGGCGACTGAGCGCCACCGCGTTCTCGTCGTGTTTGAACGACCGATTGACCTTTGCGATGGGCGCCGAGAAGATGATGCTCGACTCGTCGCCCACCTTGGCCATGGCCTTGGCCAACTCGCGCGCGCTTTTGGATCCGGCGGTGCCGAGCCCGAGCGCGTCGCCGGCAAACGCGAGCTGGACCGACGCCGCGTAAACTTTGGCCTTGCTCGCCTTGAACATCTCCGAGGCCCGGACTCGCCGCCACATGGCGATGCGCTTGGTCTCGGTGCACGCGTCGCGATAGACCCGTGCTCGCCACGCGAGATACATGTGGTAGAGTGTCGCCCGAGCATCTTCCTGCGCACCGTCGACCACCGCGTCCGGCCACACCTTGGGAGTCAGCGACGCCAGCGCCTGCTCGATGCCGGACAGAAGCTGGACAGCCCAGAGAGCACGGATCCACTTTTGCAGCTTGCGAGCGGCCATGAGCCGCTTAAACGCGAGGCGCGCCACCCGCCCGCGCCATGCTGCTGCAATGTGAGTTACCGCCTTGGCACGAGCAAACCGTCGCTCCAACGCCACTCGCAGCACAAACGACGCCACCCGCTCGCCTGCGCGCCTCTTGATGTACGCTTGTTGCTGGACGTGGCCGCGCCACGCGGCCTGGATCTTGGTCGCCGCCCTCGCTCGCGCATACGCGCGCCGCGCGAGCAGGCCGCGGACTTGTGCCTGGATGGCCGCTGCCGCGGCGTCTTGCCGGGCGCGTTCCTTGGCGGCGCGCGCCTCGGCGGTGATGTCATCGATGTGGGCGCGGACGTAACGGCCACGGCAAATAGCGCCGATCCGCGAGGCGGCAGTAGTCCGGGCAACCGCCGTGCGAGCGAGGAAGCCACGCGCAGTCCGCTGAATGTCGCGCGCAGCCAATTGGTGGCGCCTCGCCTCGCGGGCCTTAGAGCAGCGCCAGGCCCGGGCAATGGTCGACGCTGCAAGCGCCCGAGCGCACCAGGCCCGAAGCCCAAAGCTCCGCCAGGCCCGGGCGATGCGAACGGCGGCACGGTGTTCGACAAAGAACCGGCGGGCCACAAAGGCGCGCCAGGCTGTGGCAATGGTAGTGGCGGCCGCGGCCGCAGCCAGTGCGGCCCGAGTCGCGACGCCGCGCCACCAGGCCTGGATGAGTGTGACGAGGCGCGGGAGGGCGGCGGTGCGTGCATCCTCGAGTGCAAACACTGACGCCGGGTCCTTGACAAACACCTTGGTCTTGCCCATTTGGTACTGGCTCTTGTCGATGCCACGGGCGGCAAGGATGGCGTGGACAGCTTGAGGGAGGCTGAGGCCGGTCGGGTGCGGCCAGCACGAGTCTTGCGCGAGCATCTTGTAGCGGGCCACAAACGAGTCGACAGGCTCGCGGAAACAGAACCCAGCGCGGGCGACGCGGACGTTCTCCAGCAGGCCCAGATACTGGATCTGGTGCTCGACGCGCTCAAAGTCAAAGATTGTCGGCGAGCGCTCGTCGTTGGGCTTGATGCACCGGATGTAGTGGGCGTGCGAGGCGGTGAGCGTCTGGATGAGCGAGGCAAGCTGGCGCTTAAAGACCGAGACCGTGGTGGCGGCTCGCTTGCGGACGCCGCGGCGGGAGGAAGCCGACGTTGAGCCTGCGCCCAGTGCTGGCGCGAGACAAACGTGCAGGGCCTCGGATGATGCGGCGAGGAGTGAGGCAAAGTCGGGATACGTCTTGGTCTTGTTCTTCTCGAGGAACGAGACGGCGGTGTACTCGACAAAGCCGGCGTAGTGCTCAACCCGGAACGAGAGCCGTGGGAGCTTGAGGGCGCGGTGGGTGGCGGCCAGCGCAAAGTACGGCGACGATCCGGGCTTGGTCACCTCCAGCTTGGCCACAAACGAGGTATCGGAAGTCTTGGGCAGGACGGTCTCTTCGTCGAGGACGTCAAAGACGCCACCGCGGCCCTCAATGAGCTCGCAGATGACGCCGTTGTCAAAGTAGTCAACTGGGACCCAGGCAATACCCTCGGCGGCGTACTCGGCCTGCTCGGCCGAGAGCGTGAGGTCGATAAAGAGCTTCTGGAGCTTCTCGTTGGTGTAGTTGATGCAAAACTGCTCAAAGGTGTTGGAGTGGAGAATCTCAAAGCCGTAGATGTCCAGCACGCCAATGGAGGCCGCGGCTGGCGCCGGTGACGAAATTGAGGCGTTGATAAGTGTCACAATGTGTGAGAACATGGCGTCGTAGAGGGCGGCACCGAGCGAGTCACGGGTATCGTCGGCTCGCTCTGGTGAGAGCGGAATGTTGATGGCTTCGCCACGGGTCTCGATGGTGTGTGAGGTGAGGGCCTTGCCGAGGCCATCGGCGGAGACGCCCAGCAGCCGGGCGACGTCGGCGAGGACGGCGCCGTCAGCAACGCTTGCCACGTCGCCCTTTGAGCCAGCAGCGGCCACAAAGGAGACGCGCGAGAGGTGAAGAACGGCGGCAAGGAGGCGAAAGAGCGCGGTCTGGGAGTCGGCAGGAAAGCCGAGCGTGGTCATGGCAGCGACCAGCTCAGCATAGCCCGCGGCGTCGTCGATCGACGGCACGGTGTATGTCCCGGAGCGAGCAAGCGAGGGAAAGAACTCGGGCGGGTGGTTGAGGTCGAGCTCGGCGCGAAGCTCAGGCGGCGCGCCGGCGAGCATAAAGTAGAAGGCGTGGAACGAGCGCTCGCCGGGCGCAGGACGGACAACCCTCGACTTTTCGAGCAGGTAGACCGAGACGCAGCCGCCGAGCGGCGAGCCGCGGGCGTCAAACTGGATCTCCATAAACTTGCCGAACCGCGACGAGTTGTCGTTCCGTAGCGTCTGTGCATTGCCAAAGGCCTCCAGAATTGGATTGGAGCCGAGGAGCGAGTCCTTGACAGAGTCAACGTCAGCGGCACGGTTGCCCGAGACAGCAGCGATAAAGTGCATGCAGATGCGCGACGACTCGGTCTTACCTGCGCCCGACTCGCCCGAGATGATGATAGTCTGCGAGACGTTTGTCTCGAGCATGGCGTGGTACGCGTCGTTGGCCAGGGCGTAGATGTGCGGCGGCTGAGACCGTGCGGCCTTGCCAAAGTAGCCCTCCATCACACTCGGCCCGTAAAGGCCGTCGGGCCGGCGGAAAGGGTTGACGGCAAGGACCACGCTCGAGATGCATGTGTACACCGCTCCGTCCACAAACCGCTGCTCCAGCGTCTTGGCTACCGTCGGCACGTCGGCTTTGTCCAGCAGGACCAAGTCGTGAACTGCCACGCAGCCGCCAGCGGGGCCAGCCACCGCAGCCTCGCTTGTCCCTCCATGGTCAGCCATGGCCGGCTCCTGGCTCATTGGCGTGCAAGAAGGGGGTTTGGAGTCGGGTTTGGGTAGGGTGGGATGGGGTGGGTGAGGTGGGTGGTCGACCACTCGTGGCTTACGCCCACAGGCAGAGAGGGAGAGAGGTAGGTGTCGAGGAGGGCAAGGGGGGGGGGGAGGGGGGGGGCCTAGTTTGGTGGTGCCTGAGTGAAAATTGTGGTTGGGGCGGGGCGGGGCAGCCATTGGCAGCAGATGCAACATGTAGGGGGGGCTGGTTAACAGGTGGGTATCGAGTCAGGGAGACCACTAGCAGGTGCGTCTTTACGTCTAAGGTCTGTGATTACTCCACCCATCCATCTCTGCCGCTCAAGAGAACGTGGGGACTACGACTGGCGCGCCATAGTAAGCACGTGGCGGCTTTTCGATGATCACTCGTTCTTTCTCTCCGCCACTAGCCACGACACGAAGACACATAACGGAAGCAGGACTTTCAATCCAGGAGGGCTCGGGACTGGGGGGGGGGAGGGGGGCTGGATTAGAGCTCGGCGTACGAGTCAAGACCCTTGGGCTGGGCAATGCCCTCCCACGGCCAGCGACCGCCCTGGCGGACGACGGCGAACCAGTAGGCAAAGACGGCGACGCCGGCGAGGGCGATGAGCGAGATGATGACGCCGGCCGCGACGGCGCCAGCGTTGGACTTCTTCTTGGGTGAGGAGCTGGGAGCCGGGAAGAGGCCAGTGCACTCGCCGTCGCCCCAGGTGGTATCAACCTCAATGGGGTTGGCGATCTCTTCGGGTGTGCACGTGGTGTTGGTGCACATGACCATAAAGTCCTTCGAGTGGACGGTGTCCCAGTACGAGATGACCATAAAGTCGTCGGCGACGGCGGTGATCCGCGGGTGGCTTGGCGAGCAGGTGTTGCCGGCGCAGTCGGTGATGGCCTCGGGTGAGCTCCGGGTGGTGCAGGCCTCGTCGTCGCAGTACACGATCATGATGTCGCGCTTGGTCGTGCCCTGAACCTTGACCTCACGGATCCAGATGATGACCGGGTTGTCGTTGTGGGACATCGCCATGTGCGGCTCAGCCTGCGACTGCGAGAACAGGCCGCTGGACACAGGCTCCTCGGTCGTGGTCTGACAGTCGTAGACAGAGCAGCGGGTGAGGTACAGCTCGCCGTCCGACTTGACGTGGACAAAGGCGGGGAAGCCGCCGTTGCGGGTCATGATGATCGAGTCGCCAGCAAACGGCTTGACCTCCTCGAGCACCTGGTAATGGTCAGTGATGACGTTGGTCTTCGGGCTGCAGTTCAAGTCGCCGCAGTACGCCGTCTTGAGCCAGATGCCGTCGCTACCCTGGTTGAGGCTCGGCCCGTAGTACAGGATGAGCGCCTTCTGGTCGACTGTCGTCATCGAGACGCCAGCGCACATGGGCGAGCCAGCATCGTCCGCGCCGCGGCACGAGTCGATGACCGTCTTGGTCGCGTCGGTCTGCGCGTCGCAGTCAACCTTGGAGCAGACCGTGACCGTGAGCTCGCCGACATGGTCGACCGACGGGAGCGAGCCGATCGCCTTGGGAATGGTGACGTACCCGATCGCGGGCACCTTCTTGCCCAGCGCAGCCTGAACAAACGTCATCGCCGGCCAGTATGCGTTTTCCAGGATCGTCCGCGGGTAGTTGTTCACCACAGAGTGTGCACACCCGAGGGCCGGGCAGTACTCAAACCGGAGGTTGTTCGCCGCAGGCGTCGACGCGTCGCCAGAGAGGTTCGGGTTGTACTCGGTGTACAGCATGTACTGCCCGTTAAACACGTTGTGCGTCGACGGCACGTAGACAGAGATGTCCTCAACCACAGCCTGCGCAGTCCCATCGCGGATGCACTTGGCAACCTCGTACGTCGTCTGCGAGTCACCGCAGTTGTCCGGCCCGTCGCACATCCGCGTCTCCAGACCAAACGAGAGTCCGTACTGCGTCTGCATCGGCGAGAACGCAATGACCATGTTGTTCGACACCTGGTCGTACGCGTACGCAGTCCACGGCCGGTTGTTGCTGTAAATCGACGACCGCGCCATTGCGCCCATAACCATGGCGAGCAGCACAACGCCCACAGCAGTCTTCAGCATCATTTTCCTTGTATGCCTGTCCCGCCCACACCCAGCAGCATGAGTCACAAACCCACTTTGCCTCCCTCCCACCCCCACACGCCGCGAGTCACGCGCACATACATTCACAAGCCCCACTCCCCCTCCCTCCCCACCACCTTGCTTGTCCTGCCTCGTTTTGCCCGAGGCACACCAGCACACTATAGCCCATAAAGTGTCTTCAACCACGTCGCCATCCCCTGGGCTTCCCCAGCGAGTGACACCGAGCCAAGAGACAGAAGTCACCTTTCCTCACCGGCACGCGTGCCGCCCACTCCAAAAACAAAGACAGGCTGCTGCTTTGCCCGCGTTTCGCTTTTGCCACCTCCAGGGGGGGGAGGGGGGGGGAGAAGGGGAGTGCCTGACACCCACTGGGGGAGCCGTCGCTGTGTTGGCTACCTTCCCACAGCCACCAACGTAGGGTTAGGGCAACGGAGAAGGAGCATAGTGCACAAAACAAGGCGTTTCCGGAAAGAGGCCATCTGTGGGAGGCTCTGCTGCCGAGGTGGTGGTGGTTGGTGGGTGCAGAAAAACCCGTGCCTGGGATCACTGCCGTCACCACCACTCGGCGGTGGAGGGGCAGGGAGGGGGGAAGGGAGAGTGCGGGGGGGGGAGGGGGGGGGGCACGGGCAAGCAGCCAGCAGGGGGTAGGGCATGGAAGAGGAGGCGGGTGGGGGAAAAAGTCCCTGGTCCAGGTACCACGTACGGAATGTAAGCTGAGTGTGCCTTTCTCCGCCCTTCCGCCTCGGCCTCGGCCTCCTGCCGCTGTCGGCCTCTCTTCGCCCCGCTCTGCTCCACATCAGCCTGTCATCATCCCCGGTCCATCGATTGCGACAGGTTCCACAACTCGAGTAGACCGTGAGGAATCGTCCGCTTCCTCTCCACCAGCATCATCGACGCCATAGCCACATACCTGTCTCTCTTCATCACCGTGCTATGGCTGCCGACGCTGCCGAGCATGTGGTTCCCGGCTTGTGGCTTCCACGCGCCGGAGGGAGCGTGGAGCACCTGACCATCAACAAGACCGACGTGCACGACCCGGCAGCTCTTGGTGGGCCGACCTGCGCTACTTGCGCGGCTCGTCCACAGGTAGATGGTGTGCACTGGTGGCGCGGCGCAGAGAGCAGCGCATGGCTGTGCTGGGCGTGCGCAAGGAGCACAGGCCGCTTGGGCCTGGTCACGAACTCTCGGAATGCGGCCGGCGGTGGGCACACCTTGACCCTTGTACAGCTCGATCTGCTGGGAGTGTACCCGGACGAGACCAGATGGACGTGCGATGAGTGTCGGAGAGTGGCGACCCTTGCGCCTGTACGGGGCCGTGAGCGTGATATGGGGCTGCACGCGCTTGCACCCGTTGCCGGCGCCGACTACGACATCTGTTTCGCCTGCACCTCCGCCACCATCATCGCTGGCGCTCCGCTTCGCTCTTGGCTCCACGAGCACCCACTGGAGCTTCTGGCCAATCCACGCGAAGTCTACCCAGGCTTTGCCGGCGTGTGGCACTGCGACGGATGCGGCAGCGTTCAGCGATCGCAGACGCTGCCGATGATGGCCTGCCGCCACGCAGACTGTGAGTTTGACCTCTGTCCGGCGTGCGCGGTTGGATCCGTGGCTGCAGCAGAGGACGAGGCCAACTCTCGGCAGGCTGCTGGCCATGATCATCGTCTTGTGCGCTCGCGTGTGGCCGAGGTCTATCCCAGCCAGATGTGGGCGTGTGACGGGTGCGGCGCGAGCTCGGGCGCCTGGTTGTGGCACTGCGGCTTGGGCTGCGACTATGATCTGTGCAGCGGATGCATGCTTGCACGCACCGAGCGAAGGCTGGCGCTCTCGGGGCCGATGGTAGAGCTTGGAGCCCATGACCACCCTCTAGTTGCCACTGACCCGGACGTAGTCTACGCCGCGCATGGCGGCCGGTGGCGGTGCGATGGCGTTTGCGGCCGCAGCTTGACGGCTACAGACGGCGCGATGTGGCACTGCACTCGCGGCTGCTCGTACGACGTGTGCGAGACGTGTCTAGCAGTCGCGAGCCCACCAGTTTGTCGCACTTCCGGGCTCTGCGTCCTCTGTCGCTTCCGCGCTGCCGACGCTGTCATCGTCCCGTGCGGGGACGCTCTGACGTGCCGACACTGCGCCGAGGCGCAGATGAAGCGGGTGCCGGGCACGTGTCCTATTTGCCTGGCAAGTGCAAGCGCGGTTGTGACAGCTGTCCGCAGTCTTGCATGTCTCGTCTGCTTTGCTGACACACCTGGCCACCAAGTGTTTGCGTTTTCGGCGCGGTGCAAGCATGTTTTATGCGTGGAGTGCGCAGAACACATGGTGCGCGACGCGCTCGCCGACCGGGCGCTCATTCCGCTCCGCTGCCCGGTGATGGACGGTAGCCAGCGATGCACAGGCGTGATGCAGCCGCAAGACGTGGGAGCGCTCGCGCTCCGGACTTTGATCACCCCCGACGAGGTGGAGGCCTTTGAGACCGCGCACACCACTGCGGCTCTGCCTGCCGCTGTCCGGGCGTACTGCCCGTTTTCCGAGTGCTCCGGGCTGGTTTTTGTTGATGCCGAAGACGCAGAGTGCGCAACGGCGGCCGAGGCAATGCGCTCGGTGACCTGTCCGTACTGCGCGCGCCCCTTTTGCTGGGCATGTCGCAGCGCGTGGCATCCGGGCGCCGACTGCAACGCCGCCGCCGGCGCGTCGGCCGCCACCCGCGAGCTCATTGCGCTCTCGTCGCGGCCGTGCATCGACTGCGGTGCCGCCATTGCCCACGCACGCGGCCACGCCTGCCACCATATGACTTGTCCGTGCGGCGGCGAGATGTGCTTTGTGTGCGGCGGCCGCTGGCCCTGCCGCCAAGGCTGCCCCATGTACTGCACCAACGCGCGTCCGTGCCCATGCCAGCTCTGCGTCGAATGCGAGCCGGGCGCCCCATGCCCCGCCTGCCCGGGCGCTTGCCCAGTCTGTCGTGGTCCAGAGAGCGCCGATGCGTAAGAGGCTGAGGCATGACCCATGTGGGATGATGAGTCCCTGGGGCGGGGCGGGGCGAGTCGGAACAAAATGAAGAAACTCCCCAATTGGGCGCCTTCCGCCTAAACGGGGCCGCCGGACCTGGACCACAAAACCGGAGGCGTGCCAGCCGCGCCCAGGCAAGCGCGGCTAGCACTACCCGTCGGCTTCACATTGTTCTCCATGGGGCTGCTTGGGCGGATGCGCCGGAAGCGGCAGGCGACCAAGGCGGCCAACGCAGCAGCAGCCAAGGAGGTTGAAGCCGCGCTCGCTGCTCGTAAGGCGCGCGAGGCCCGTGACGCTGCGTTTGCACGAGCCAAGGCGAGCGACGCCGGGACACCGGCGGAGGCAGTGATGGACGAGCTCGGCCCGGGCGCGGTCGAGGCCCTGTGCGAGGCAATCGGGATCGCGCCGGCGTCTGCAGACGCGCTTGTCATGTGCCACACTATGGGCGTGGCCAGAATGGGATACATCAGCAAGACCGAGTTTGAGGCCGGCATGGTGAGCCTTGCCGCAAGCTCGCTCGACGACCTGGCGGTCGCCATCAGCCGGCGCAAGGCACAGCTTGCGGCGTCGACGAGCGGCTTTGCCGCCCTCTACGAGTACGCCTTTGCATTTGCCAAAGAGGAGCCTCGCAAAAAGATCGTCGACTTGGCGTCGGCGTGCGCTATGCTCGAGCTCGTCATGTCGATGCGGAGCGAGAGCGATCGCAAGCGGACCGACGCCTTTGTCGCCTTTCTCACCTCAGACAGCTGCACAGCCCGGGCGCTCAACCACGACCAGTGGAGCTCGTGGCTCGACTTTATCGACGAGATCGCGCCGGACCTGTCCAACTGGGAAGACGACGGCCCGTACCCGGTCCTGTTCTCCGAGTATGTGGCCCACGCGAGCAGGGGGGAGTAAACACAGCCTTCTTGGGAGCCTTGCAATGTGTTTACACCACCGATGTGGCGCGCGACCGGCCGCGGGTGGCTCCGTCGGTGGCCCGCGCGGCGACGCCAGCGCGATGTCGTCGGTCCCGCCCACGCCCAGGTCTTCGTACGGGATGTGCGAGAGGAGGGCAACCTCGTCCGAGTGGACCGAGCGCTCGACGATCCAGTGGGTGTTGTCGCGGGCTTGAAGGACAAGGGCGCGACCGACAGTGATGGAGCCGTTCTGCAGCTTGCGCTTGAGCGTGTGGATGGCGTTGCGGAGCTGCTGGTTCTGTTCGTAGAGCTGCGCGAAGCGCGCCTCGTTGGCGGCACGCTGCGTTTCAAGCAGTGTTGAGAACGACTGGGCTTGCACCGCCAGTGCAGACTGCATCTCGCGCTGCAGCGTCTCATACACCGTCTTGATTGTCGTCTTGAGTGCAGAATGCGACTTGCGGGTCATCTCTTTCAGCGTCTCGTGCGACCGCCTCAGCAGCGCCACCGTCGCCTTGTTCTGCCCGCTCCCACCGCCGTCGCCACCCAAGCTCACACTGGCATCGCCAGGGCCCAGCGTCGCCGATCGCCGCGACATCCGCCCGCCGCCGCCGGTAGCTGCTGCCGCCGGCGAGCTGGGCGCCGACGGCGGCGGCGACGCAAACAGATCCGCCGCCGTCGCCGTCGTTGTCGCGCCCATCAGTAGCGCCGCGCTATCCGCAGACGTCTCTGCCTCCGTCGAGCCAAATGTGGTGTCAGGCTGTCCCGTCCCAGCATCATCGTCGTCGGCGTTGACCTCCTCTTCCTCGTCGTCGTCGTCCTCATCGGAAAAGAACTCGGCCACCGCTGACCGCTTGCCAGCCACCGACCGCTTTGGAGCCGAGCCTTTGCTGCCCGCACTACCTGCGCCTCCTCCAGTACCGTTGGCTTTGGCCTGGCGGGCAGCCTTGCGCTCGGCCCTCAGCTGGGCTCGCAGCTTGGCCTTCTCCTTCTTGTCGCTTGCCGCCGACCTTGCCGCTGCCTCGCGCTTCTCACGGGCAGCACGCCTCCGCGCAAACGCGTCCTTTCCAGACATAGTCCTGTGCTACCAGCTTTGGGCGTTTCTTACACGGCGTCCCTCTTCTGTGCACGCTCTCCTGCCCAGCCAGTCGAGTGGCTCTGCCTCTGTCGACACCCTCCTCCCCCCCCCCTCTCCCGCATGTCATGCCATTTGGCAAGACTGGCCATGCTCTGACCGCACCCGACAGCCTCGGCCTGCCTATCGCCGCGGCCTATCGCCTGCCTGAAGCCAGAGGTGAAGCATTATCAGGTGCGGGGCGTTAGTGTGGGAGCATGTGCCATGCCCTGCATTCCCCTCGCGTACGATGCTGCTCTCTTGCCACGTCGCCATGGGCGTGGCATTCCAACCACCGGCTGGCCCAACTGCGATGACGATGACGATCACGATGACGATGACGATCACACCCTCTCCCACCGCTGTCAAACCCCTGCCCCTCCTCCTACCCACACTGCACTCGACGGACCAGTGGAGGGAGATGACGTCCGAGTGCGGACACCTCGAGCAGCTGCGGGAGGTGTCCACAAGCCTCGAGGACAAGAGCTTCCTGGTACGTTGCTTGGAGGCGGCCACAGGGGACAACGAGCCCGTTTTCGCCGCTTTCGGGAGGCGGCCGGTCATGGCTACGACCTTCTTCTGAGCGGCGGCGGACAAGGCTGGGGGTGAGGCCACGTGTGGCAGGGAGGAGAGGGAGGGCCACTCACACACATGCGAGCGTGTACAGAGTGTTCTGGACAGTGGCAGTGCACGGTGCAAGTGCGGGGCTGCCGACCCGAGCTTGCTGTGGCGGTGCCTGGGTGACTCGTGCGGTCGGGTCTCATGCGGACGGACCGTTCGCGGCCACGCGCTGAAGCATGCTTCCCGGAACGGAGCCGGGCACTCGGTGTGCATCAATGTGGCAAGCGGGCAGGTGTGGTGCTACGGATGCGACGACGAGCTGTGGATCGATGCGACAACAGCCAACGCCAAGGCCATTCTCCGGTTCCGCGCCCTGCTCCGCGGCGACGACCCGGACGCGCCCGACGACGAGGGCGAGGTGGCGGACATGGCGCTGTCAGACTCGGCGCTGTCGATGCCCGGCCTGCCGGCGCTTTGCACTCCGCAGCTCGACGAGGAGGTGCTGGCGGCTGGTGCCCGCCCGGGCTCGGGCCTCTGTGGCCTGCGCAACCTGGGCAACACGTGCTTCCTCAACTCGGCGCTGCAGACCCTCTCCAACTCGCCGCCACTCCACCGAGTCATGCTTGCGCTCGAGCCGGAAATGCTTCCAGCGCCGCGCTCGCGCGTTGCGCTCCTTCCCAAGTTCCACACCCTCATCCGCGCCATGTGGACTGCCCGTCGCGACTACCTCGCGCCGTCTGACCTTGTCCGCGCTGTTCAGGTCATCAACCCCGTTTTCCGCGGCTACGCCCAGCACGACTCGCAGGAGCTGCTCCGCACTGTAGTTGACCGCCTGCACCAAGAGCTTACCCTCGAGCTACGGGGTCCGCCGCCTGAGGCGCCCAAGAAGGCACAGGCCCAGGGCCCGGCCAAGGTTCAGGAGAAGGCAGCGAAAGCCAAGGCAAAAGCCAAGGCAAAAGCCAAGGCCAAAGCCAAGGCAAAAGCCAAGGCCAAAGCCAAAGCCAAGGCCAAGGCGGCCCATGGGCTCTCGGTCACCTCATCAAGCTCCGACTCGGCCTCGCCCGAGCCGTCGTCCCCGTCGGCGTTTTCGTCGGCGTCGCCGCTGTCACACGAGCACGGCTCTGATGCCGGCTCGGACGGCTCGGACGGCTCGACCCGTCGCAAACTCGAGGCCTCGCTCATTGCCGACATCTTTGCCGGCGAAATGGTGTCTTCGGTCACATGCTCCAACTGCGGGACGGTGTCTGCCACGCGCGAGCCGTTCTTTGACGTCTCGGTCGAGATCCCGTCCAAGAAGGCGCGCGCCAAGCTCAAGGGAAGGACCTCGCACCTGCTGGGCGAAGTCGGCGCCGCCGCGCTTGACGCTGACGCCTCGCCCGGCGGCGGCACCTATGTTGGTGGCGGTGAGCCGCCGCTCGGCGGCAGCAACGGCAAGCTGCATGGCAAGGACAAGGGCAAGGGGAAGGGCAAGGCCAAGGCCAAGAGCAAGAGCAAGGGCAAAGCTCCTGCAAGTGACGAGGTGGCGGGCCCTGGTGGCGAGGCGGGCGGCGAGTCGGGCGGTTTCTTCCGCGGGCTTGCATCGATCTTTGGCCTTGGCGGCTCGTCACCGCTCACACTTCAAGACTGCCTCTACGCGTACTGTGCGCAGGAGAACCTTGTCGGGACCGAACGGTACCACTGCGAGAAGTGCGATGAGAAGCACGACTCGCTGAAGGCGCTGGCGCTGGCGCGGCTCCCGGAAATGCTCACCATCCACATCAAGCGCTTCCGCTATGACTCGTACTTTGGCTCCAAGGTCACGACCCGGGTCGAGTTTCCGTTTGAGCTCGACGCTGCGCCGTTCCTCTCCCGCCGTGAGCCCGATGTGACGACTGAGGCTGCTGCGGCGTCGTACCGCCTCTCGGGCCTGGTCAACCACCGCGGGTCGATGACCGGCGGTCACTACGTGGCCTACTGCCGCAATGCCGTCGACAACGAGTGGTACCTTTTCGACGACACGCGAGTCTCGCAGGTCACGCCCGACGCTGTCGCCGCCGCCGAGGCCTACATCCTGGTCTACGAGCGGGTGGCGCCGCAGGCGCAGGCCGTTCGCGACCGGGTCTTCCGCGCCCTTGACGCTGCTGCCGGGGATCTCGCCGCGCCCGACGTCGACAAAGACCTTGTCTACATCTCGCGCCACTGGTACACCAAGTTCCGCGTCCTCTCGCGGCCCGGCCCGGTCTCGTCGGCCGACGTCGTGTGCGAGCACGGCGGCCTGGCCCTGCCGTCGCCGCTTGACATGGCCGGCGAACTTCCGCCCGACGCACCGCTGCCGATCTTTGGCATTCCTGACCACGTCTACACACTGCTAGTCTCGCTCTTTGGCGCCGCCGATCCACCGCTCCGCTCGCCGGAACCATGCGCTGCCTGCCTTCGCGCCGCCCGCGCCATGGCTGACCAGCGCGCCAAGGAAAAGCACTTTATCGCACGCAACGACTCGTCGACCATCGCCGAGGGCGAGTGCTGGTACCTCATCTCCAACGGTTGGATCGAGCGCTGGCATGCCTTTACCACCGGAACCGACGTCCTTCCGGGCCCCATCGACAACCATATTCTGCTCGACGACTCGGGTGAGCCGCTCCCGCGCCTCCGCAAGTCGTACGACTACCGCGGCCTCAACCGGGCCGTCTGGGACTTTTTCGTCTCGCAGCACGGCGGTGGCCCGCCCATCGTCCGCGCCCAGCTCGACATCTATGATCCCACGCCCATCGCTACGACCTCACCGCATTCGTCGTCGTCGTCTTCTCGTCGCCGACACCGCAAGGGATGACGCAGTAAATCCCAGCCTCACGCCGCGCAAAGTGTGGTGTGTGCGCCGAGTCGCGTCCAGACCAGACCCAGGCCCCCCCTCCCACCCCCCCCCCCCCCCCCCCCCCCCCTAACCCGCCGCCCTCCACCCCCACCCCCCCCTACCCCACCCCCACCCCCACCCCCAC